TTTTTTTTGTTTGGCTAATTTAACATTTTGTACACGTACCTTCACATGTACAACTTTTGGATCATCACCCATTATGCAGCGCGTTTCACATATGACCCTTATATCTATTTGCCTTCGCTGTTTGTCACGGGCTCCGTTCAGGAGCGGCAGCGAACCGGCGTGGTGCGGCGTGCTGTGGAGGAGGTGGGGGTGGTGGGTGCAGAGCAAGGGCGTCATCAGAGCCAAGCCCAAGACGTAGGCGGGATACAAATATTTTTTTCGCACAGCTAAAGCAAAGATGGAAGCGTGGACACACGTGGAATGCACTGTGAAACTATTATCACGGGAAATTCGACACGTTCCACATGTTGATATGGTTGATTTAAGGTAAGTGGAAAAAAAAGAAAAAAAAAAAAGAAAAAAAAAACCTCTTGTCTATTCGACAAGACCAAATTGCGTTCGTTCGCACATTTCCAAGTCGACGGCAAGTCTTCGGCCTCCGTCATTAACCATAATATGCAGTTGAGTCCAGCAAACGCACAATGCCCTACGCATTTTACAACAAAATACACACAAACGTTTTATCTAGACTCACGAAACTTCTACTAAATCACTTCTGCTTAATTCCAGTCGCTCATTCCGCGCCTGTTCCGTTTCGCCATTTGCCTTCGCCGTTAGTCACGGGCTCCGTCCGGCGGAGGCGGCGCGGCGGCGCGGGGCAGGGCGACGCAAGGACGGCGGTGGCGCCGGCGCCGTCCTGGACGCGTGGGCGGGACGCAGGCGCCGCGACGCCGGCGCCACGCCGCGCACAGCGCCACGGGCGGGCGGGCGTCGCCGCCACGTCGCCGCACAGTGGGGCCAAACTACGTTTTGCGACACGGCGGCGGAACTGTTAGTCATGGCTGTCCAAACTGGCGGTCCGCGATGCCGTTTCTTGTGACCGGGGAAAGGTTATTAGTGAAAAGTAAAAGTACCTTTTATTCGTATCGGGGGAGGATATTTTGAGCCTAGCACTCGCGCCCTGCCAGGGTCAACACAACCTTTGAAGTAAAAATGGGTTAAGTTTAGATTGAGGGATTTTTTTTTCTAGTAAATTCAGAAATTCAAAATCAACCTAATGTGTTACACGGTGTTATGCATGATACGGTCTGATATCGCACAATGTTCTATCCCTCTCTCCGTTTCAGAACAGCCGGACAAAGTGCCGTGCTCGACATTACAGGGAAGTAATGTGTGCTTCCCCCCGAGTAATGGAAATAGGGTCCTCAACAATATTGAAGGTTTTCGTTGTGGCTCTTGAGGCCTTGCAAGTGGGACACCCCTGATACGACATCGACAACAATACATTGTGTAACGAAACATCGATTGTAAAGCTTAAAATATCGATGTTAATATTACATCAACCAAAATCTTTCGATGTTCTAAAGCTGGTTTAGTAACATCCAACATTAAATTCGTGCCTTTGAAATTTAATGTGATAACGTCCGTGTTAATAAATAATTAAAATTTAACTGAAAACAGTGTTCAAAAATAATAATGGACAAAACTGTGCCTGAACGCCTACGCAAAGTCTGTGATCATCTCAAAGAGCGAATTCTCTGTTGGCGTCGAAGGACAGGGGAAGCAAGGGAGAGAGCCTATGCCCACGGCGGCACTGCACTGGCCGCCTCTCAAATAGCAAAAAACGAGGAAATATGTAGGAAACACTAGAAGGCCATCGCTGTCATCTCGTGCGACATGTAGACTGCTCAAATGAAGAAAAAAAATGCGACCATCATCAAATTACCTCCTTCCATGAACACCGATATAAAACTAAATTAACTAAAAGTCATGGTTTTGGATTTTTAAAACATTACGTTTTAATAACATCAATGGTTTTGGGTCAATGAATAATAAATATCGGTATTTTAATTTTGAGCATC